AGGAGTAAGTACTGTCAACTCCAAGTGTTCAAATATCATGAGTGAGGCCCCCAGAAATCAAAAGATTGGCTTACAAATCATGAGATTAAATTTGGCAATCTTTTGATTTGCCTCTTCTTTTTTAGCCTCTAGAGTTCATGTTTTCAGGCTTTTTTCCTGAACAACGAAGGCTGCAAACTTATTTTAAAAAAGAAAGGGAGAAAAGCTGTGGTTCTCACATAATCACTCATCTCCAGGAGCTAGGACTTTCTAAGAAAACACCAAATATTGCCAGACTTGTGATGAGAGCTGGCAACATGACAGGCACCTGTGCTGCACTATTGGAAGGATGAAGTAAACTCAGCGCACAAGCTGGAGCATTTTAGCTCCAAAATTCCATGGATGAAAGCGCCCAGACTCTGACCACTCAATTTCCTCCCAGAAACAACAGCTTTAAATGTTTCCATGCCATAAGCCTTACAGGCCCAGCAACACTCCTGTTGCTCACTTTAGAAACTCCAGAGCTAGATCTAGAACAAAGCATTTTAAACAGCCAGGAGAGTTAAAAGCAGAAGGAAGGTTCAGCAGATTGCTAGAAGAAAAATGCACACAGACTCCTGCTAGTATTCTATGATTAATAACTTTTGTCAAAGCCTTATTATTTATGAACTATTGCCTAAGAAAAGGAGATAATTGAGGATTGCAAGGAGTCACGTGATATGCTGGATTACTGTTGGAAAGGTTGTAGTTATTCCTGAGACAGTCCACTGTGTATGTAGAAGTAGGAGGAGATCAAGGCTCCCTTAGGCAAGGCAAGGCTGAGGGGATGCAGCTGTGAGGTCTTCAATCCCATTTATGGTTAGTGCAATAAGGCCAAATAATGGTGGACACTGACAAGCAGCACGATTTGCAGTCTGAGGGGGTGATTTGTCCTTTCAGTCAGCTTGAACTGTTTGGAGATTTAGAGATAAAACCTAATGATGTATGTCTGCTGGCCACATGAATCATCCTGTATGGGACAGCTATCAAAATTGTACTGTTTGGCTACCTAGACAGTGAGTGTGGAGAAAAAAATGTGCAGGATTTGGAGGGCTCAAATTGAATTGAGCAGAACATATTGTAGAAAACATGGTCATTTGTCAAGAAATGCAGATGGCAGACTTTGAAGTTAAACGGATTTTCTGAAAGACAGGGAGACATATGTGGGCTACTTGATAGTAGTGAAGGATGTAGCCTGATTTAGGGTGTACTGATAATATTAATTTGGATAATATGGGAATTTAATTTATTAATTTATTTTTATTTGATTTTAATAATAATTAAAAACAAAAGCTTTTCCAACCATTATAGATACATATGATAATATAGAATTACATGCAACAAAGCTTTGGTTAACATACTCACACCCTTCCTTGATAACCTGGTGGTAAGAGACACAGGACCAGCCTTGCAGTTCAGGTTTTTCAATTTTTGAGTGAGGGACGCAGTGCTTAGAAAATGCTGAGCTATCAAAGCTGACTAGGGTTTACTTGACTAACTTAAACTTAAATCAAAACCTAATAAACAAACTAAGAATAAAACGTAGGGAAACCAAGCTTAGCCTAGTTCCCTTGAAACTTAAAGTTTAAGAAGAACAAGTATAGCTTACAAATAGTAGCAGTCATCATAGATAGAGTAGAGAAAGTAAATGAGAATACAGTAAAGTGAGAACGGAGATAGTGAGAAATGGAGATGAAGTAAAGTAAGAACAGAGAAATGGAGATAAAATGGAGATCCTTTATTGAGGTGGGTTACCTCTTTTATAGGGCAAATGCCGGACCTCCTTCCTCTTATGCCCAAATTTCATTCCTTACCCACAGAAATGTTAGGGTACCCTTACTCCATAGGCTAGTATGTATGTGCGTATTGATGACAGGTATGTACGCACATCAGTCTCTTGTGGTGTACTTGTTAAGTCTGTGGGAAACCCCCCCTATGCCATTTTTCATTGTCCATTGGTCTAGATAAAAGGTCATAGACATAGACGTGGGTACTCATTTATTTAGGTAACAAGCTATAGGTCAACTTTGCTTTCTGAGTAAAAGGTCTTAATATAGATATGCTAACTTTGCCTTAGCTTAGCATACAGGATATGGCCTGTAGGTCTTTTGCATTACAGCCAAACTTACTTTAATATAAATTTATAAACCTATCACAATACATCAAATACTTAAACTATAAAAAAAGATATATATATACAAGCAAGCAGGTTAGTCTTATAGGCTACAAGGGGACAGCAGATAATAGAATGTATGTTGAAGAGTAAACCATGGAATAACAGCAAGAGAACGTACTGCAGGCAGTGACATTTCAAAATCTAATCATGTCTAAATACACATTCTCTGAGAGTAAGAAATAGTTAAACTTCAAATTCAAACAATACACTTCAAACAAATGAGTGTGCAGGGGTCCATTCCACACCCTCCCAAAAAAATTATTTAACTATGGGGGTCTGCACATGCTGCCCCAGGAACAGGCCAGGAAGCAGAGTCTGACTCAGAGAGTCAATTTGACTTCCAGTTCCCCATTGCTCCAGGGGGACATACCCTGGGACAGCTGTTCCCCAGTGTGTGGAGGAGAGGGCGGAGCCAAGACTCCATGCATTCCCTGCCCACATGCGCCGGGGGGGAGAAGGGAGGGTAATGACCCAGCAGTGGTTGCTCTTCCTCTGGCGCTCCCACCCACAACACAAGCAGACAGCATAGGGAAGTAAGACAGTGATTTACACCCCATTGTTCCCCTGCATGGCTGTGCAGGAAAAGTCACAATCTCTCCCATAATGTGGGATTTCCAGAAATGTAGAAAAACGTTTTAAAATGTAGATACCAAAGAACAATGATACATTAGGGAACGCACTACACACATGGGACCAGAGCTGAGAAATAGATATTGGAACTAGAAGATTGAGAATATGAACAGTTTTGGAGCTGATCATGTAATGTGTATTAATACCCAATTCCTATGCTATATGCTGACATACACGCATACTGTGCAGCAATGCTAACATCTATGTATAGTTCCACTAAGCAACAGATTCTTTTTTAGACTAATGTGTGTAAAAGACTCCTGCCCACATGCACCGAACACCTGCCTAGTTATATTTAGTCTTTGTAGATGTTTTGTGCCAGACAGTATGCATGAGGTAAATGTCTATAAAACTGTAGTACATTTATATAATAGCCTTGTTAGACCTATGCAAATACCACTGAAGCATCAGGAGCTGCAGGTGCTTCTCACCTCTGAAAATGAGGCCACTTTTATTTAAGGAACCTAAGTATGCATTTAGGAGCTTAATTTTAGGTTCCCATGTTTGAAAATGTTGGTCATTGGCAACAGGAGCAGACTGCTGGGGAAGATCTAGGAAAGAAGCAAAGATGAACCACTTCTTCAATAGGGGAAACATGAACTATTAAAAGTCTGCCGAAGGTGCTTTAGGACTAGACTGGTAAACAGAACTAGAAATACCAGGCTTGTGTTATTCTATTTTCCATGTAGGATCTCCACCGATAACCCTCTTTATGTAACAGGTAGGGGTGTGTGTGTGTGTGTGTGTGTGTGTGTGTGTGTTTGTGAGAGAGAGAGAGAGAGAGAGAGACTGCTGCCTGCAGTTTTAAAAACATCTTTATTTCACTTCCCCCTGCTCTTTTTTGTTAGCACCTACATTTCTTCCTTTTTGTATTGCATCCAAACGTTATACTGACTCTGCTAGTTTCAGTCTTGTAGCAGTAGGGTTTTATGACAAAATAAACTCCCATTAAAATGAATGGGATAGAGGTGCCTTTTGTTTCAACTGAGTTTTTACATGGAATAATGAGAGGAAATTGCTACCAAGCATACACCATTCATTCTGCTCTGTTAGTGAAGAATACAGCAGCTGTGGCTGATCTAGAAGATTGGCTAAAATGTCCTAAATCAGTTCTATCCAGTCCAGGCCTATATGTCATAACATTATGTGTTACATTAAAACTGAAAGAGAGCTACCATTAGGAAATAGAAGAAAATGTGTCATTGGCTTACCACATCGCAATTTAACTTTTCCTTTTGAAACTGAACTTTGAAACTCACCTGTTAGAAGTGAAATTGTAATAACCACTTTCCTCCAGAACCTCTTCAATCACAGACTACAGATTAAAGGAAATTCAGGTTAGTAAAAAATGTATATCTTGGTTAAAAATAAGAAAACAAAATTGTTCATGAAGAATGTGAAATGCTGACCTGCATCTGTTCATATGTCATTCCTTCCTCCATGTCAAAACTGCCAGGAAAGCCTATAAAGCAAATAGCAGGCAATGTTAAATCATTGAAATTTTGGCATACATGTGCCTCATCAGAGTTTCTTAGCAATCACAGCATAGCCAGAATGATAACAGAACAGTTTGTTAACAAGAGAAATGGCTAACCTTGATCTTCATCTGTTTTTGCTGCATTGACCACAGTGATCATGTAAACAGGTGGGAGGAGGAAATTTTTACAGTATGATGTGATCTTCTAGATGTTGGTATGTGGTTGTGATCATAGAGTCATAGAAATGTATGGCTGGAAGGGACCTCGACGGTTATCAGGCCAGCGCCCTGCTCTGAGGCAGGACCAAGTAAACCTAGACCATCCCTCACAGGTGTTTATCCAACCTGTTCTTCAAAACCTCCAGTGATGGGGATTCCACAACCTCCCTTGGAAGCCTATTCCAGAGCTTAACAGGAATGGTCTAGATAATTATTCCTGCCATGAGTGCAGGGGACTGGACTAGATGACTTCTCAAGTCCCTTCCAGTTCTATGATTCTATCCTTATAGTAGAAAGTTTTTCCTAATATCTAACCTAAATCTCCCTTGCTGCAGATTAAGACCATTACTTCTTGTTCTATCTTCAGTGGACATGGAGAACAATTGATCCCCATCCTCTTTATAACAGCCCTTAACATATGGGAAGACTGTTTTCAGGTTCCCCCTCAATCTTTTGTCCCAAGACTAAATATGCCCAGTTTTTTAACCTTTCCTCATAGGTCAGTTTTTCTAAACCTTTTATCATTTTTGTTGCTCTCTTCTTGACTCTTTCCAATTTGTCCACATCTTTCCTAAAGTGTGCCATCCAGAATTGGACACAGTACTCCAGCTGAGGCCTCACCAGTGCTGAGTAGAGTAGGACAGTTATCTCCTATGGGTTATATACTACACTCTTGTTAATACACCCCAGAATATTAGCCTTTTTTGCAACTGCATCACATTGTTGACTCATTCAATTTGTGATCCACTATAACCCCAGGTTCTTTTTAGCAGTACCACTGCCCAGCTAGTTATTCCCCATTTTGTACTTCTGAATTTGATTTTTCCTTCCTAAGTGTAGTACTTTGCACTTGTGTTTATTTCATTTCATCTTGTTGATCTCAAACCAATTCTCCAATTTGTCAAGGTCATTTTGAATTCTAATAATGGCCTCCAAAGTGCTTGCAGCCCCTCCCAGCCATGTAGATGATGTGGTCATATTGTAAAAACAGTCATGTCTGATTAAAAGAAGAACACTGTATAAATGCAAAAAGAAATGCATAAAAAGTGGGGAATCACAAGTGGCTCCTTTGTGGTTCCCCAATTTAGCTGCACCCAGTGCTTATTGAGTGTTGCTGAGGATGGAGCACATTGTTTGCAAGAGTGTTCAACTTAGGTGCAAACCATATCTGATGATAACTACGTATGAAAAGTATACATGTTTACAAGCCCTTGTATGGAGAGTGCTGTAGCAGATGAACTACGTTTTACTGTTTCCTCTCCAACTCTCTGAAGCCCCATCCAGATAGGCAATTAAGTCATGTTAGTGCAACCGCTATAAAACATGGTATAAGAAGAGCTCTTTCTTGCACAGTGTTTAAATATGGCTTTGCTTAAGGCCCAAGTGGAAGATTTTCAAAGACACAAATAAGAGGCACCAAATTCCCACTGACTTTCAATGGCAGTTAGGCACCTAACTGCAATTTGAAAAAATCCACACATACCCCAAACTCAAGAACATTCTTTTAAATGGTTATGTCTGGTCCACAATCACAAAATATACTGTCTTTTAAATCAGTTCCGCAAATATGACCTAATTGTCAGTAAAGACAGTAACTGACAACGAAGAGTTAATTTCTCTTTACTGAAAACTTCTAATCTCAATACCATGTACCCGACTTGAAAAGTGTATTTCAGATCATGAGTGTTTGTTTGCTTTCCTTACCTGTTCTATCATCTGGGGCCAATATATTTCCCCCAGTGGAGTGAAGTAATAAATGGCAATCTGCTGTAAAAAAGTTGGGCTCAATCAGTTCAGGAGAACCCTGGAGCAGCTGGAAAAAAGCAAAAACCATATTAAAACTACATTTTTTAAACCAAAAACCTCCATCGCAGAACATAAGTAGTTTTTCACTCTCCTAAAATCCAGAGTTAGAGGAGAAAGGGGCTTTCGATACATTTGAAATGAATAAAGAACTAGTCAAATCAGTCATGAATGCTCTACCTTCTTCCCTTCAGAGGTGTTTATCAAACACTGAAGGCAGCCAAACTGCACTCAGTATAAACCTCACAGCTATGTGGTACATGTGAAAGAAATATCAAAGTGCAAATTTGTATGAAAACAAAAAAGAAAAAATGTGTTTTCTCAAAAGTAGGGGAGAAACAGTCAATAGTTTGAGATTTTCAAAGTTTGGTACGTAAAGGTAGGTTCCTAAACTCATATTTAAATTGCCTGATTTTCTATCAGTGGGATCTCATCACTTTTGATTTCAACTGACTGCTGTGAACATATGCAAACTGAGAATCAAATCATTTTTGGGTGTCTATGTAGGGATGTAGGATCCACTATGATTTTGACATTACAATGTTATTTTTGTAGATAAATAAGAAAGAAATGTCTGTTCCCATACTCTACAGTATCTCCAGCATAATCAACACTCTTCTCATTCACCAGCTTTTAATGCTGTAGAATCACACTGTTTAGACACAGACAAGACCTATTATGGGAGGTCCTTTACTCCACCCCCACCTCTGGCAACGCAGGAATCTTTCTAACAGTCTGTTATTCTAAACTAGTCACCTGCTCACTCTAATTTTAAATGTTTCAGGCAATAGGCCTTCCATCATTTCCCACTGAAAATGATTGTACAATATAACAGATATCATTGTCCTGGAGGGTCTTCCAGGGCTCATCCTAAACTTTTCTCTACTTAATTTCATCCCATTAACTCCTAGTTTTACTACGAACTACCCTTCATGTTGGTGGTCCTGGGCTGAGATTCTGAAATTTGCCACCCGACTCCCACTGACTTTCAGATATTTAGCTTTTACTTCTTCCTCATCCATCAAGCCTCCCAGCCCCCTGAACATTTTTTATTATTCTATTAACTGCTTCCAACTTGTCTACATTTTTCTGGGAGGGAGATATTCAGAACTGAATTCAGTCTTCCAAATACTGTCTCCCCACAGAAAGGGATTATCACCTTCTTGTACCTCAATGCTTCTGTGTACGTGGCCCAGAATCACAAAGGCTGAATCTATATCTGACCAGAAAAAAATATCCTTTAATGCTTGCAAGTCTTCAGTAATTTTCAAGCGATGACACTGAATTATTGCTAACAGACTATTAAACAATCAGGAAGGATAATTTGGCTTCAAGAGCATTGGGCAGTTTCAGTGCTTTCTAAGAGTTCATGCTTTGAGTAGAAAGATGTTGTTCCAAAATAACAAAATGTTGGCAGGCTAATGATAATGTAACAGGAGTTGACATAATACAGCTCTATTAGCCTTTAACACAAAAAGTTAGCCATTTTTTTTTTTTAAACACAAACAGTTGCAATTTGATCCTAGGACAAGAAAAGGGAAGGTTAAATGATAAAAAAAAATGCAACCCTGTTTGTTCTGTATTGTGAAACATTTCTTGGTAAATAATTAATAAAATATTTATGCTAACAGAGGCTCATTTTTGAGACTATTGAGCGGGGGAAGCATTTGCATTTAAAAAAAATTAAACAAGCATTAATTTTCCTCTAAGCATTATGCCTGGAACTGAAAAAAAATTCTATTTCATATTTATAAAATAAAGATATGAGAATCATCATATTATGTTATAAAATAAATTTCAGAAAACTTCTATGTGACTGTTTTGATCTCCTGCTGTTTTATTTTAAATCCCTCCCTGTTACTATCCTGATCTGATCCATGAAAGGAAAAACAAGTTCTCTGATCTCTGAGGAGGTGGATTTTATGTTTTGTTTATTAGCAGCTGGCTGGATCTTTCCATTTTCAATGTGTGTGCCTTTGATCAAAGACAAAATCTAAAACTATTCTGTATCGCTGCTTATCTAGGAGACCTTCAGACCATCAACTAAAAGGTGGATAAAGCATTTGCCTAAACATTTTCCATAAAAATTGGAAACAAATTCAAATTAATCAAATTTAGTTTGTAATACTAACTAAAAATCATTTACTGGAACCAGAGTGTGGGGATAATGCCAAAGATTTAATTATTTGAAAACATTATTAATTTTCTCAAGTTTTTGTTGAATCAGATACTTATTTTTTATGACTAAAATAGAAGATGAATATGAAGAACACATACAATTCAGAGCATCTTAATTAACCTTTATAAAGTTCTTCTCCCTCTCCCCTTGATTAATTCATATAGCATAATTCAAATAGAAATAGAAAAGAGATGAACACCACAACGTCTCACAATACTGCACCTTTTTAACTTCCAGTTTCAAGTTACAAGGATTGCTCTGTTGGCTGAAGAGAGATTTCTTGAATCTCTCAATAACTCTTCTTTTCAAGTTGCAGTGCAAAGCTGGAGGAAGCTATGGGGGATAGAGAAACGGCTGTTATCACCACTCAATTCTGACTCCTCTATAGGCCACATTTCCTACAGTGTTAATTTTTAAAATTGGTAGTTACAATGTATATGTAGACACTGATATTTAATAGCCCAAGCAATAAACTACTGTATAGAATCTGAAACAATGCATATTGTAATAATGTTCTTTTGTTCACCCACCCTGTTAGAAGGTGTTGAAACCTGAAGAGATGGTAACTGGGCTCACTGTGACAGGTGTAGCTTGTTATATTGATCATGGATATAGAGGGGGTAGGACTGACCCCTCTGGTCAAAATAATCTAACATCTGGGACTAGGTAGTCTTAAGGGAGGAACCCTAGGAAGAACAGATCCTGAGGAGAAGGCTTGGGCTGAATTTTGTGTTGGTTATCTTGAGTTACCAGGATTGAAATCAGTGGAACTATATATGAGGATAAGGGCTTGATGCAATGCAAAATAAAGTGAATGGGAATCTTCCCCTTGATTTCAATGGGCTTTGCTTAAGGCCCCAATGTACTACTCAATATGACAAAGTGTGGCTGAATCTGGCCCTTCTATTGTAAGGTTTCCAGGACAGGAACTTTATACTTTACTTGTCTGTAAAGTATCCAGAAAAGTTTTGACTTTATACCAATACAGGAAAATTTTCCATCAATGTTCTTGTGCATCAAAATGCATTTCCCTCTTTTTCTCTGTTTAACAAAGAAAAACATGCAGCATATTTCAGAAGGTGTAAACAGGTCTCTTATAGGAGGATCCTCTGAACTCTCTTCTTTATGAAAGATGAAATCTTTTTGTGTTTGAATTTTTAAATTACCTTTCTGCTCTAAAAATAAATGTAAAGTCCCAATGGTAAGTCAGGCCCTATTGTCAGGGCAGCTTTTTACTTATATCTGTCATCATTCCAGTGTGGAGGATAGAGTCATCCTATAACACATATTACACTTTGGGCTTAATTCTCCACTGCCTGGTACTTTGCATAATCATTTATCCCTGTGCACAGAGGGTGTAAAACTACCATTCTGATTTGGTAGCACTTGACACAATCACAGGCCCTGGTGCAAATAGCTACACAGGGTATAATTCAGTGACGAATCAGGATCCTTGTGTTCAAAGTGTCTGGACCAGGATTATATGTCATAGATGTGATTTAGCCCATGTTACACTTCATAAATGTATACGAACAAATGCCATTTATAACTAAATGGAAACTTTTTGACACATGAAAGGTTTGACCATTATTCAGGCCATCCCCACATATCTAGCTATAAGTCTACTTGGTTTTTTTTGTATTTTTCTGGGAATAACTGTGGTTATTACACTGGTATAAATCCAGAACAATTATACTGACTTTAATGGAGTTATTCCTGATTTACACAGGCAAAATTGAGATCAGGATCTGATTCTCAGTATAAAGGGCTTCATCAGAACCAGTTACATCCAGACATATGCTGCTTTCTTTTCACGTAGACAATGTCTTTCATATGTTGTGTTGTAAACCCTTAAGAACTTTCAGCCAATCAGATGATGAATGTTTCTAATCCTATAAGTAAGCGGAAGCATGTGATACTGTGTGAATTAATACCAAATACCTGCACATGTTGGGGGCATTGTGAGGTACAGGGGCTTAGGGAACAGTCAGCTGCAACTGAAAATAACCAGAGTTGTCTCAGCTGCTGCTGTCTGATTCCAGATTCTGTTTCCATGAAATCAGATGTTAGATCAGTGAAAATAAGGCCAAGGTTTTACATAATGGTTTTTTAAAAACTTGTTCTTACATTATTTTTCAGAGACCAGAGCAAAACCTGTTTCCATGGAAACTGGATTGGAAAGACTGCTGGCAGCCAAGAACCAGCAATAAGAACTCTCCCTTGTAAACTTCAGCTTCTAGTTGTCAGCTGAGATCTGCAATTGAGCATTTTAAAAGCCAGCTACATATTTAAAGTCTGTTCTTCCTCAGATCTGTAAAAAATAAACAAATAATGAGGATTGGAACTCTCAAGGGATCTGGTTACAAGGCATGGAGCCTTTCATCTATAGGTCACCATTTCAAATCTAGCCCAAATTGAAAGCATTGTTACTGCTGAGAGATACAGGGGACTGCTTGGATTACAAAGCATTTTGAGACTGGGTGTGAATGTACCCTTCACTTCAGATAGCTATAACAAACACTTAGGGGGGCACACCTAAAACAAGACCTGTCTGGCCAGAAACTAGCACTATGTGGGTGGGAGGGTTTCATGGGGTATTGTGACCACAGCGGGTGGGTGTGTCAGGGGGAGGCAGAACAAATAAAAACGGGGAGCGACTGAGGCTTTGTCCACACCAGACTTTTGTCGGTAAAACTTTTGTCGGTCAGGGATATGAAAAAACACCCCTGACCAACTGAAGTTTCACGGACAAAAGCGCCAGTGTGGACAGCGCTATGTCGGGGGGAGACACTCCCACCCCAACATAGCGACCGCTGCTGGTTGCAGGTGGTTCAATTATACCGGCAGGAGAGCTCTCTCCCACCAGCATAGTGTGGCTACATGGGAGACCTTACAGCGGCGCAGTGGTATAGTGTAGACAAAGCTTGAGGCTATGTTTATACTACCATTATGTTAGCAAAACATATGTCACTCAGGGCTGTGAATATTCCACCCCCCCTGAGCACCATAAATTATGCCGGCATAAGCACTAGTGTGTACAGCGTTATGTCAGTGAGAGAGTTCTCCCGCCAACATAGGTACTGCCGCTCGTTTGGGGTAGATTAATTATGTCGATGGGAGAGTTGGACTGGTACAGTTGCGCCACTGTAAGCTCTCTAGTGTAGACATAGCCTGAGAAACAGACAGCCAGCCAGAAAGAGCATTTGAAAGCATGGTGTCTGATTCTGGCAGAAACCTGGGGAGTGGTTTTTGGATCAGGGATGCAGATTGAAAAAAGTGTTCTTGGCCCTGTGAGCAAAAGAAGCTGTTTCCTACTCTTTGGTTCCTTCTGTGCTCACAGACACAGGATGTTTATACATTTTCTATAAATAAACAAAACTGCATCAAAGAAATACCTGACTATCACCAAGTTGTACTTCCAACTAGAATATCCCCAGAGCCCCAAACTCTGACTACCACGTGGGTCAAAAAGAGGCAACAGTATCAACATTTTTACTATCTGTTCAGTGGACTGTCTGAAGTGAGCCTGTTGAGTGCTGCCCATTCTTAGTTATCAGGTGTCCATATTACGATAACCACAAATGGTTTTAATTAATGTCTCTGAGGGCCCTCTGAGAAGAGAGGCTGGTATTTAATGGGTATGGAGCCTGAAATACTTGCTTATCTCTCCAGGTGGGCCCTCCAACACACAACTAAGGCACATTGCAGCCAGGATAGGGAAGACTGCACTGCTCCTTATCTCTTCTTTAACAGACAGAGGACTTGCCACACTGTCAAGCTGGCATTAAATTCAATCAGTTCATTTTTTTAAAATTAAAGAAAAGTTTCTTTTCTTTGGCCGAGGGGATTCAGTTCCAGCATTTTTCACCTTTGACAGGTATAATTTCAAGGATGTAAAATAGGTTAATGAGTCCTATTATGTGAGACACACATAAATTCAGTTTGGCTGTTCTATTTTAAAAGAAAATTGAACCAACTTTGCTCAGCAATCTGAAAGCTCCAGCGGTGATAAGCACGTCTTGCCAAGTATAAACTGTGAATTTTGGAGGGTAAGTTGGCATTTATTTAAAATTAGTAATTGTGACCTTTACTACTGAGCTGTAGCCATGCTGCTGGAGAGTGAAATCATTTGTTATACTAGCAGTTTGAGAGTACAATCTAAGAGATTTATACTAGTTACAGTTTTGCTTTAGTACCAGTTTGAAATCAGAGCTTCTACTCTCTTTAGATATTAAACATTGAATTTCTTCAATTAGCATTAAATCAGAATAGAAACTGTATTTAAATTCAAAATATTTAAGCCAACTAATGCATTCAGCATTTGAAGTACTGTGTTAGAAATAATAGGAAACTCTTTAAAATGACTATAAGAATAAAGGCATTTCATGAAATCTCTGTGTCAGTGTTTTATATTAAGTCATTTGAAATACAATACTCATATTACTGGCATGACAGAATGTTATTAAAATAAGTTTCTGTATAAAATCCATTTTAATGAGGTGAGCCAGTGGCATTTCTTACTATGACTCAATTATTATCATCCTCCACATACTAATATTCAAGGTTAGTTTTATTTAAATAAAGTATTTTTTTTAAATCATGCCATCTGTAAAAATGTCAAGTTCTGTTGTTTTTAAAGAAAAGTAACTAAAATAGCAACACTGTAGTACAATCATTTTGGCATCAACAAGCAAACAAAGACGTTGGAGTGTTCTGAAGCAGCAGAAATGCATACCTGAGTGATGTAGATTATTTTGTGCAGCTGAATTAGAATCTGCTGAATAGGGTCACTGATCTGGCGCACCTTCCTTTGTGACACAGCAATTCCTGCAGATGCTGCAGATGATAATGCTACAATCAGGAGGAGAGCCCATTTTGTTGTTTTTCCAGGACATATCACTAGTGTGTATAGATTATTTTTTTAAATTATTGTTTCTATATGGAATCTAGAAAAAAAATAGTCCTTTGCCTTTTAATCTCTGACTTTTTCCCAATAATGTCCAAGTCTGAGATCTGTTCTAACACTACAAAAGGATAAAAGGGTTAAATTAAAACCTTACAAGTTTGACAGCCTTATTCATCATAAATTCAAAAGGTAAAATCACTTTCTCTGCTTAATTCAAACTAAAATAGATTATTTGGGAGTGAAGAGGCGTAAATATATTTTGCTACTCATAAAAGCCTTTTCAGTTTTATGTGTAGGGTTACCTAACAATATAATAAACACAATCCTCTGATTTTAATTGTGGCAAACTATCTGTTATTTTGCACACAGATTAACACATGCTCCTTTGCTTTCAAATATTTTATTACTATTAACAAGCATCTCTTTTACCTTAGAAATTATAATATGTCTTATGTAGATAGTATGGAAGTATTCTTTTCATAAAATAGTTTTATTCCCACTTATTGTGCCATATGTTCCTTGTAACAGTGAACTTTTCTTTCCAATATCTAGCCGCATCAGCTTTTGAGAACACCTCAATGAGACTGTGAGACAATGGATTTCCTCATGTTTTCTGTTCATTGCCTAACTCAATGAAAATGGTAGTTATTTGTCAGAATTCCCTGTTCCTGCCAGATACCATTTTGGCTGACAGACAAAAAATAATAATTATAATAATTCAGGACAGGTTAAGGAGGAACCTGTTAAAGGCCCTCTAGATATCATCATCACAGTAAGTATATTACTAAATAATTGGCATATATCATGCATAATGTAAAAGGCCCTAGATGCTAACCAAAATGCAATGCTGTAAATGAAGCCCATCATTTCACTCCCCTATCCTCTGCCCAGAGAAGTGTTAATGCAATGTTATAATCGAGATTTCAAATCTATAGTCCCCATGGCAAGTGTATCTCAGCGTGCTAGCACATAAGCAGAATTATGTATTATATGGTGTTAGTGTAGTTGCTCTACATATTCTGTATGTATACATAATACACACATACAATTTATGTCTGTATGTACACAGATTATAGTTATGCATATAAAATATATACACACATGTATAAATGCACACACACAGGGCAGCAGCTGTGTGCCAGAAACCAGAGAGGGGAACCCCTGAAGCCAGCTAAAAGGATTCCCTTCCTTGGCACCCTTGTAGAAAAGGAGGTTTTGAAACAGGCTAGACAACGTCACAGGAATCAAGGCCTGGAAAGCACAGCCAAAAAAAAAAAAAGAAAATCTTCACAAAAATAATCGCTAAAAAAATTATTATTGTTGAATTTTACATCTGAGTATTTTAAACTATGAGTCAGATTTGTGTGTGTTTGCGTGGTGCCAAGGGATCGATATTTCTTGCTTTGCGAAGATTGATGTTGTGTGAAATTCCAGTTGTTGACATAAAATTGGTTCTATTAGTGCCATGGAGTACACATGGCACTGATAATAATGACTTCCACCAGCAGGTGACTGAGTCCTTTGTGTGGTGGCGCTAGGGAGATGGAACTTACTTCCCTTGACATCCACCTCAGACAATCCCTGCCCCACTTTTTAAAAAACTACTGAAGACACAGCAGGTGTTTCCACCTGAAATCCCTGTCAGCTCCGGTGTATGACTCCTGCTTAATGACATCATTATATCTTTTTAGTATTTTATTTGCGGGTTTTTTTGTATTGTCTGTTAATTGTTGTTTTGTTATATATTTTAACTGTGCAGCATCTTGAGCACCTTGCCATGGGGCACTTTATCAATAAAATTAACATTTTCTGTAGATTTAGTGGCATGAATTTACTCTGTTTCATAGTCCATCATGCTACATATACATGAGTGGAGATTCATACAAGCAGAGCTACCTTCATCTGTGAATATGCAGGGAAAATTGGCTTTAAAACCTCAAACTTTCAGTTGTCAGATTAATTGAATATTGATAAAAAGGTGAGTATGGGTTATAGAAAACACCAAATGCAAATACAAATTTAATCCCCACGTATACATGTGTGTGATGTACTCATGAAAGTCATTGGGTTTTTTAAACACACACACATACCCTTTCCGTTGGTCACAGAAGTAAGCTTGTTTCAGGATACTGAGTACAGACTTTACAAATTTAGAAGTTATTGTTTTATCTGGTTTGTAAAGTATTTCTCTCTTAATAAAATTTCAGAAAATCATGCCCCTATGCATTGTCTCCAGTTTCTCACCCTCACTGAGAACAGAGGCACCAACAATCTTTTTTTTTTAATTTAGTGTTTTGACTTTTAATTTTTCTTTAGTCAGAGTTATAACTTAAGCACACATTATGGGTCAATTTTTCAAATATAGGAGGCAATAGGTATGCATACAAAAAACTACACACATCTGGTGCATGCACCAGTAACTGCTTCACTGTGTTTGCAAAGGTGGATTTTTACTGATGCACTTGTTGAATCTCTGTTTGATAATCCAGAACTGTGTCTGACAGAAAAATTGGAGGAATTGGGACAAAAAAAATTCAAAGTAATTTTCTTTAACAAAAGCAATCATTCATAGTTTTAGAATTAAGAACACAACACTTTTTTAAAGGCTTTTACTTATTATGAATAATGTATTCAATTAGTTATTGCTGATTTTATTTAGGCAAGAAAGAAATGTAAAACCGATTGTTATAATTGAATTATTTACAACAAAGAGAAAGAGAAGCTGAATTTTCCAATTTTATTGCATGAACATATTATCTAGATTTGCATGCTTTCCTTTCAAGCTAGATCATCACTATCTGTTATTCTACTCAATCTGTAGTATCGATTCATTCATGAAATACAGCTAGAGGAAGTTATGCATTCATAGGTGCTATATTTTTGCCTGGGCAAAATACAGTAGAACCTCAGAGTTATGAATGCCTTGGGAATGATGGCTGTTCGTAACTCTGAAATGTTTGCAATTCTGAACAAAACGTTATGGTTGTTCTTTCAAAAGTTTACAACTGAACATTGACTTACTACAGCTTTGACACTTTACTATGCAGAAGAAAAATGTTGCTTTAACCGTCTTAATTTAAATGAAACAACCACAGAAACAGTTTCCTTACCTTGTCAAATCTTTTTTTTAAACTTTCCCCTTTTTTTTTTTAGTAGTTTACATTTAACACAATACTGTAGTGTATTTACTTTTTTATTTATTTATTTTTGTCGTTGCTGCTGCTTGATTGTGTACTTCCGGTTCCAAATGAGGTGTGTGGTTAACCAGCCAGTTTGTAACTCTGAGGTTCTACTGTACATTTATTTATATTACAACTGTATTGTAAATTTTTTGATTTACAGCTTTGTGAAACCATCCAATAAGAGGTATATGGCTTTCAGCATAATAGGTTACATACATGAAATTGGAGTTTATAAACATATCTCCTCCCAAAGCTACTGCCTTGGATTTCTGAGCTATGTCATGAATACTCACTAAATCACTTATGGATAGGTATGTACGGTCAGTTTTGCCCCTCTATACATGTACCCAAAGATGACAAGAGGGCATTTCAAGACACTGCTTGGTAAGAACCTGAAGACAAGCTGGGAGGAGGAGAGTTTGGAATTGTGGAAAAGACCAACGGAGAGAAAGAACCCCACTCTTGGAAATCAGGAAGTAGCATTCACCCGGAGATAAGACTGAGGAAGAACTGGAATTTGACAGAGGCAGGTGAGATGATAGAGTAAGAATAGCTTAACCAAATTAGAAAAAGTAATAATAGTAATGCAAAAAGGCCTAGAGATATCCTAAAACAGACATGATAGCCAAAGGGTAAACAGTGTTATGCCTTCTGCTCAAAAATAGTCATTACAGCATAGACACCGCCAACATTATTCTTGTGATGGTCTATAGGCTGTAATATATTATATCTCTAATAGGAATTTGATGTAGTAGCCAAAATTGCCTGGTGCAGTGATAACGTTTTCTTTCTGTTGGTACCCATATGTAAGTAACTAAATGTTCTTAATATTTTTCCCTTAAGAATAACAGTTAAAAGGCTGTTTACTTGTTTTGAAGCAAAAATGTTCATTGGCTAGCCAGCAAGTAATCTCAAACTCCTATGTGATTTGTTCCCTCCCTTCCTCAATGAGATATCAGATATAGATTGGCCACAGGCAGCTTGATAGAAACAAATTTACTAGCTTTCTTAAATGAACTAGTATTGCTGAGCTATTTACTAAGCAGAGTACACTAAACCCCGATTTATGGACTACACAATGAAAAGTTAACTATGCTTCATTAATTAAAGAGCACTATGCATCTACCTTTTGAACCATAGTGGCATAATAATGATTTATTTGTGTTCCATGGAAAAATATTAATTCAAACTTTAAGGATCATTAGAAAAAATATTGCTGACCAAGCTTTAGACCATTTTAAAAGACTAAAGCATACAACTATGTATTATGTCTTCTGCAAACAAAAATTGATTCACAGAAAGTCAGAAGATACAACTGATTTAACACTGGGACGATTCTTATTTTCACGTAGGCCCCCTCTACACTGTTCTGCCTGCCAGAATAGTGTAAAGGGGTTTTAATATACTTCAGATTTAAAGTTCTATAATTCCTACATGATAAATCAATTGCAACTTATGACTTTCTAATGTTGCACATTTACAAGTCATATACATTATCACTTCTGGATCTTAAATAAAGACCTTAGTCATCAGCAGATTGTCAGTATGGATCCATATTCTCAGGGGATTAGATAGTAGTACAGGGGTGGGCAAACTTTTTGGCCCAAGAGCCACATCTGGGTGGGGAAATTGCATGCAGGGCCAGAATGTAGGGCTGAGGCAGGGGGTTGGGGTGCGGGAGGGAGTGCGGAGTGTGAGAGGGGGCTCAGGGCAGGGGTTGGGGTGCAGGAAGGGGTGTGGAGTGTGGGAAGGGGCTCAGGGCAGGGGGTTGGGGTGCAGGAGGGGTCAGCAGGGGGTTGGGGTGCAGGATACAAGAAAGGTTTAGGGTGCGGACTCCAGCCCGGCGCCGCTTACCTGGAGCTGCTCCAGGGTGGCAGCGGCGCGTAGTGGGGCTAAGACAGGCTCCCTGGCCCTGCGCCGTGCTGCTCCCGGAAGCAGCCGGCACTACGTCCCTGCGGCCGCTTCCGGGAGCGGGGGCATAGGGCTCCGCGCGCTGCCCTCACCTGTGAGTACCTCTCCCGAAGCTCCCATTGGGTTCCCCGTTCCCGGCCAATGGGAGCTGCGAGGGGTGGTGCCTAAAGGCGAGGACAGTGTGCGGAGCCCTCTGCCGCCCCCCCACTTCCCCCCAGGGGCCGCAGGGACATGATGCCGGCCACTTCCAGCAGCAGCGCGGGGCCCACGGCACCACGGGGGTGGCAATCCCACGGGCCGGATCCAAACGGATCCAGCCCACAGGACATAGTTTGCCCACCCCTGTAGTAGTAGCAAAATTCGGAGGGAAACTTATTAAACAAGATTGTACAACTGCTATCCCAGATTGGGCATCTGATCTGGAAACCAACTCAAGAGCATAAATGCATGTATTGAAATCCAGAGAGCAGACATACATCTCTGCAATGGAGGTATTTCTAAGACATGCTTTAGAGTCTACTTTAGATCTAGGCCCTAAAACCTTCTAATGGGAGATATCAACATTCTCTTTAATTTACCCTAAGGGCAGTTATGTTGTCTCACAGACCATTATGATTTTGAGACATTCTAGCTAGATACCCCAGGGTGCATTCACAGAGTTTGTATATCTCTAATTACAACACTTTTGAGAAAACAATAGCCACTGTTATAATTGGGCAATAATTTGTGTTTTGTATTGTGTAATTAAAATTCCCAAAACAGACTTAATAACCAAAAAGCTGTGAAACAACAGTTACTGTATGTACATGGAAGAGTCTCTATGAAGAACAATATTCCAATTGCTCAAAAATTTTTTCTTTCAAATACAACTGAATCCAGGTGACAGCGTAGATTATGAAGTAACAGCATAGAGTATTTAAATCATATCAGTGAGAATAAAAAGCATCTGAAACTACAAGACTGCTTCACCAATGATGATATATGTGCAAACGTATTGTAACTTACAAAGACTCTATGCAGCACTACCTACTCAGGAGAAATTCCAACTGCATTAAATGGAAATTTGCGCTGGGTAAGGCATGCTAAAATAGAGCCCTGAAGAATTTTCTTGGAATTCATATTTTTAAAATGTTTCCTTAAGGATCACTCACATACTGTGTTTCTGTCTCATACATAATGTTGTGCTCTCCTATCATTTGTTTCACTTCAAAATGTTACTGTTGAGTACTACCATGATCTTTTAGGTTGCGAAGAACCACAGCTGGAAGGCTATAAGACTGCCACCCTGTCACTAACGATGTCTCTATTTTCTTAACGTTGGCCCTGAACATGAGCGTAGGTACTCTCAGAAGCAGATCAAGAGGCAGCAAAGCTGAAGAAATAAAAAAGGGAGATACTGTATATGCAACTAAAACAAAATTTAAAAGAACTTGGAAATGGTAAGATTAATTTCAGTACAAGTCTGGTTGTCATAAACATGTAATTACCTGGTCTTGGTCTTGATCCTAGGCCTCCAATATAATCTCTATAAAACAGAAGTAGGTTTGATATTGTCTTGTTTCAAATCATATAAATTTGTTTCAAATAAAATAAAATATAAAATCATAGAGGAAATATAAAATATCCCTTGCTCCCTTCACATGCCTCCTCCTGATCTCCTACCTCCCATCCCTTTCTCCCCAATATTTGGCACAGTCCAGCAGCTTCAGCTACATGACCCGGAATCAACATTTTAAAATAATTTTGAACACTGCACCGTATACATATGAAAATATCTCTCTGCAAGTGATCCTGGCCATAGTCACAGGTAAAGAAAATTAGGGTTGTGAGGGGGACAAGATTAAACAATGTTAAAAGAAACAACATATTGTGCCTGCCTCTGTAAGGTGCATGTACCACTTTGCAGAGCTTTTCTCTGATCTGGTCCAAAACAAAACAAAAAAGACCCACAAACAGAGGTCGACTTGTTTCAGCAGTGTGAAAAAACAATGATCCTTAATTTACAAAGTTTCTGGCAAGCAGTAGACAGGACTGACAACCACAGGTGTCCAAAATCATGAGTCAAGTTCCAAAAATAAATCATGAGACTGGTTTAAAAAGCATGAGTTTTTTTATACAATAATATATTGAAGGTTCTGTTTATTTGCCTTCTGGTTTTTGAGCCTTTAACGTGCAGCAAAAGAGTGTTAGATCCAGATCTTCAGTGTATAAAACCTTCACTAATCCGCTAAACTATCTAAACCTTTTTCCTCAGTATAGCTCAACACACTTTATATAGGCGGGTAAGTATTATTAGCCCCACTTTACCTATGGTGACTATAAGGAACAGAAAATTTGCATTGATGGCATTCTTGTCTAGTGGATAAAAGGTATTAGTTGATCAGAGTCTACTCCAGGTTCTAACAAGACTTTGTATGTGATCTTATAATAATAATATAATAATATATGGAGATATACCTATCTCATAGAACTGGAAGGGACCCTGAAAGGTCATCGAATCCAGCCCCCTGCCTTCACTAGCAGGACCAAGTACTGATTTTGCCCCAGATCCCTAAATGGCCCCCTCAAGGATTGAACTCACAACCCTGGGTTTAGCAGGCCAATGCTCAAACCACTGAGCTATCCCTCCCCAAATTGCATAACCTTTGCATAACCTCAGTTATTCCATTGTAAAAGGGTGGTACCAATGTTGGCCTATCTCACACAAGTGGTGTGATGCCTCACTAAAAAGGATTGTGAAGGTCTACGTACTATTAAGGTCAGTTAACAAAGATGTGGGAATAGTATTCAAGACCTCTTGGTACCCTTCCTGGTGCTCATTCCTCCATAGACTAAGAAGGCATTTATATGTTGACAGCAACAGGAGAATCTATTTTATCAGATCATGGATTTCCCAAAACATTCATCTAATTTTGTAAAGAAGCACTAGCTGGTTTAGAGTACTTCAAAGGACAAGACACTTGTGTGCACAGTTAAATACACACACATGCATATTTTTTCCCACCAAAAATATGCTTTGTTCAAAATATGTTGCAGAAATAAAAAATTGTATTTTTCTACCAGCTCTAGTTGGAACTGACATAAAGGTGTCCAGTCATAAAACTGCACTGGTTTAACTAAATCAATTTAATGTCATACCTTTTGTTAAACCGGTGCAACTTCTGTGCATAGACAATCTATAACAGTATGTTGACAGTAGAGTTTTTACCTCAAGTTAATTGATTGCCAGTTAGCTTGAGGTAATTAACACGTTTGCAGACACTCCACAAAAGTTTTATCCAGGACAACTGGAAAAAATTCTTTGTGGAATATCCAAACTGGAATTCAAAATAACGATGATCAAATCTGATTTTTGAAACCTAAAATTGTACATACCTTGTCTGAGGTGGTCTTTCAGAAGCACTGAAACTTCGTTTAATTATACCTGAAACAAATGCACAAAGGTTATATTCTCTGTATTGAAAGAATAGTTTAGAAATAAAATATAGTCAATTTCCCAGCAGATATACTGTGCTGAAATCTTAACCCCCCACCATCCTTTTAGGACTAAATGTAATCTTCAAAATTCAAATAACACATTTAAGAACTGAGTCCCCTTGTGATGCACCAAAGATCTGCCTGCATCGTAACCAAGATCTCACTACCACAAAGACTGATGTATATGTTGGATCACTCACTTGCTTAAAAGCTAAGCATGTATTGAAGTCTTTGCAAGGCTGGGGCCTTAAGGTGTATCTTTTTCCTTGCAGAAAGAGTACTATTTTTCAGAGAGAAAATTTTCAGTTTTCATGGCACAATATAAAATATCATAAACATATATTTAATGCCGTATGTAATACTAGAAATGTCTTAGTACACAACAGCAGGAAATAAATACAAAACTTAAAATTGCCACTAATTTTTAGCTTTTTTACTTTGGGCCAAATTCTGTCACTCTTGTGTACATGAGCAGTACCTTACTTCTCAAATAGTCCCACTGATTTAAAGACACAAAAGATAACGTGCAGTGAGGTTAACTGACTTGCTCACAATTATGCAGTGAATCAGTAGGACAGCTAGAGCAGAACCCAGTGTGTCTGTTCTGTTCTCTAACTACTGGACTGAGCAGTCTCCTAATCAATGCTAGGATATTCATTCACATAGTTCCCCAATGCATCAAGAGGAGGGAAAATCCTCCATAATCTTTACTATTTATTCACTTACAAGCCATGACAGAAAAGATTTCTGTACAACTGTTCCATTTATGATAACTTATCTACTGCTCCGCAAACCATTTTAATTCTAACTGTTTAGACCACTGCCTCTTGCTCCCGTTTTGTGTGGGAAGGCAGAATGTATCTGTACATTCGGAACAAAGAAATATTTCATCCTATCAAAGGTTATCTTAATAACAGAAACTAGGCGGGTCTTCACCATTTTTCCTTTGCATATTCATAGTATATTCTACCCTTGTCTGAGGTACTTATCTTTCCACTACTGGTAGTAACAATGGAAGTATTATCGTCGACTGGGAACAGCAGTGTTTAATCACTCAGAATCGGACAACATTGTACTAAAAAATTTTGTGCCAGATCTTATACTAGTTTTCCCACCATTACTAGTCCTGGTGGAGCTGCATCAGTACTACAGCAAAAGTAGGAGATTTCAGAAAAGGCCCAGCCTTCAAAACTGAATAAACCTCCAAGTGACTTGAATCCTTTTCCATGAGGCTCAAGCACATGTCAAGATGTGAGGCCATCTCTACACTGGCAATTTACAGTGCTGAAACTTTCTCACTCAGAGGTGTGAAAAAACACCCCTCTGAGCAATGCAAGTTTCAGCGCTGTAAAGTGGCAGTGTAGACAGTGCACCAGCACTGGAAGCCATGCTCCCAGCACTGGTAGCTACTCCCCTCACGGGGGTGGTTTTTTTATAATTTGTCTTAAACTGAGCTCCACATGCGACCACACAGCCACGTTAAAGCACTGCTGCGGCAGTGCTTTAATGTTGGTAGTGAAGACATACCCTTAAAATGTACTGCATTATAGACTCTACAGTTTTCTTCCCTTTTCAAGATTCCCTGGCAATAATGAAAAGATCGTGAAGGAGATTGTCATCTATCATGTGCAGCTCGGTTTAAGACAAATTATAAAAGAAACCATTCATCTTTTATTTAGGTCAGAGCTGACAATAAAAAAGTCATGCCTCTCTCTTGTCTTCCCTGTTAATATTGTACACAGCAGAACAGGTACACCTACTGCATGGCACTTGGCTCAAAGAATAGGTAAATGATGCAACTACAAATGGGCTAGATTCTCTTCGATGAGTCAAGAAATAAAATATGGAATATTTTGGCTGCAAATGGATTTAATAGTGAGATTTAAGACAGAGAAGAGAGTTTCCAGAGAACAAATCAATATCCATTGGGCCCTGATTTTGATTTAGGCCTTTGGGCACTACTGATGTACAAATAACATCAACAGGAGAGCCACAAAACTCAGTATCATGTGATGTTAACAGGACATTTTGACAATCATTATATCATGGCCCCTGATTAGGGAGTTTAGAGTGCTTACTGTCTCAAACACATCCTTGTGAAATGTAAAAACTTTGAGTGGGGCTCTTTGGAGTAGCAAATGGCTCCCTTTTTGTTTATGGAAGCAAACACAATAACACCAATCCAAGCATGATAGTGTAGTTTTGATTGACACTGGAGTCACATAGCTTGGGTAGGGATTTTGGATAATAGCCTCAAGGACATGGTTGTAACAGAGTATAATGGGTTTGGGGAATATATAAGAACAAATAGGCTCCTAGAGCAGTAACAGACACCATTTGGCTAGAGACCTTGTTTTGAACACAGAGTTGCTTGATGGAGTTCTGAAAGAGCAGTGTTAACTCAGAGAGGAGCGAGCTTCCCCTTCTCAAGAACATACATACTTCTTAATTATACTAGATATACAGAATCCTGTCCCTGTGTCAAATACATTGTCTCCCAATCAGGAAATAGCTTCCTTCCATAGTCCAACCAGAAGCTGACTCATCATATTTGACCTGCCAGTCTTGTGACTTATGGATATATTGGTGCATGATATTTCACACTAAAGAGCCTGTCTCTATACACTCATAAGTACCTGGCATACATGTAATAGAGACAGTTCCTGAATCACATGCCAAGATGGGGGAAATAATTTTTAGTACCAAAGAAACAGAAGTAGTGATGCAGGTCACTAAACAATAGCTATTGCCCAATGGCCTTGTTGTGGTTAATAATAATAATTTGAATTAGAGTACCACATAAAGTCCTCAGCCGAGACTGGGGTCCCTTTGTGATAGACACTGTACAAACACACAGTAAGTGTTTATACAGTGATTAGCACAAGGTGGCACCTCATATTTAGGCACTATAATAATACAAATAAATAAATACTACCAATAATAATACTAGCAGTAGTAGACTGTAAGCGCTCCCAAGGAGGGACTGTCTAAATAGACAAGCCAGACAAAGGATGAGAGAGGAAACAGAAGCATAGACGGGTGAAGGACTTGCCCAAGGTCACATAGCAGGAATGGAACTCAGGTTGCCTGATAAGGCCATACTTTCTCCTTCCCATAGAAGTCTCCTTGGATTTTGTAGCCCATGGGGCTAGCTCGGCTTCATTATATTTACTGCCTTGCTTCATTATATTCAGCAATAATGCAAGGAATCTACAGGCCTGTATCCTGTAACACATTGGCTTCAGCAGCTAGCATAAGGCTTGAGGCCTATAAACTATGACACAGGTAAATGACCTAATGGTCACCCCTAAGTTTTGGGGAACAGAGTGTGAGGGGGAATTTTGTCCATCATGACATCAGCCAACCACAGGAACATGAGCTAACACCAGCTTTTGGATAAAATGCCCGCAGATATCTGAACACAGGAGTGCCGTGGCAACAAGTTGAAGTACTTGATAATAAATTGAGATCATTAATATGCTAATCTATAGGAGAATGACCCCCAACATTAGTAGCATGAGGAATAAGGAAGAGGGCAGAACCCCCTACTGAATATGTATTAGACACAGTGGTATTAGTGTAACATTTTATAAAAGCTGTATCCCAGCTGGTGGGTGTGGGGGGAGAGATGTAGCCCTTGGGAGGTGCCAGAATGATGGCAACTGCTGATGAGGAGAAAGGTGATGAGGAAGATAATGGCTAACAATTCAAGTTCATCTGCAAGGGATGGTGTGAGTATATGAATGTTCAGATGTACATTCTGTATTATCTCTGTCCACCTTACTGGGTTCGAGTGTTTGTGACTTTGCTAAATGTATTAATAAATTATTGTAAGTATAGAAGAGTTCCTATAGTGTAAGTGTTGCAACTGTGCACATCGGAGTTCCCAACTATACTGTAATTTTAATAATACTGGGCCTGATCTTGGGTGAAGAACCTGTCAAACCTCAAAATGATAACTGGGAATTCTTAAGTAATCAAAATAATTTACACATAATCTATAGATCAGGCTACAATCTGAATGGGGAAAATGGTGTTGTGGGGGGAAATATGGTTTAGTCCAAATGGCTTGTAAATTGAGGGCATGTCTACACGGGGACGCTCAGAGAAGTTAAGGAGAATCAACTAAAAGTGAAAAGTCAATGGGCATAAATTAAAGAGTGTTAACCCCACCTCCACCCACGTTGAAGCTCTCAATCACAAGTAAAGTGGTCTTACTTGTTTGCTGTATATTAATCCTTCTTGGAGGAAGATTAAGGCACAGGTAACTAAGGCCTGGTCTACACTACGAGTTTAGGTCGACTTTAGCAGCGTTAAATCAAATTAAGCCTGGACACGTTCACACGACGAAGCCCTTTCTTTCGACTTAAAGGGCCCTTTAAATCGGTTTCTTTAATCCACCTCCGACGAGGGGATTAGCGATAAAATTGGCCTTAGCGGGTTGGAACTGGGGTAGTGTGGACGGAATTCGACGTTATTTGCCTCTGGGAGCTATCCCACAGTGCTTCATTGTGACCGCTCTGGACAGCACTCTCAACTCAGATGCACTGACCAGGTAGACAGGAAAAGGCCCGCGAACGTTTGAATTTCATTTCCTGTTTGCTCAGCGTGGAGAGCACAGATGACCACGCAGAGCTCATCAGCACAGGTAACTGTGATGGAGTCCCAGGATCACAAAAGAGCTCCAGCATGGACAGAACGGGAGATACGGGATCTGCTCGCCATATGGAGAGATGAATCAGTGCTAGCTGAACTCCGAAGCAGTAAACAAAATAGCAAAATATTAGAAAAGGTCTCCAAGGCCATGAAGGACAGAGGCCATAACAGGGACGCACAGCAGTGCCGCGTGAAAATTAAGGAGCTACGGCAAGCCTACCACAAAGCCAGAGAAGCAAACGGAAGGTCCGGGGCAGAGCCGCAAACATGCTGCTTCTACGCGGAGCTGCA